AGAAATAAGTATGTCCAAAATTCTTCTTCTTTTATTCTTTAATATTATTCCTTCATTTTTTTCCTGATTAAATTTATATTTTATCTCCATTGTAAATCACCAATTTCATGAAAATCATAAACTATTGGAGAAGCATATATAATCAAATTGAAACAAATATAATAGTCTGGGGCAATTCCTTCCTGTGATGAAAGAGTAAAATTGGATCAGAAAATTTCTCCTCTCCAATATCTGAGGTAAGAATAGAATTAGTGGGCCAGCTGGGTGGTGCACTGCTACAGTGCACCGCTTGGGAGCGCGGCGGCGCTCCCGCCAAGGGTTCGGATCCCACATACAGACCGGCGGCTCACTGGCTGAGCGAGGTACGGGCGCAACACCGAGGGTTGCGATCTGTTGCCGGTCACAAAAAACAAACAAACAAACAAACAAAAAGAATAGAATTAGCAAAAAATACAACAGAATCCACCAATAAAAGGAAGACAAGGAAGCAAGAAACTGTAATTTGTGTTCAAAGCATGTTGTAAAACTTAACAGAATTCCAACATATTAGAGTTAAGCAATTACTTATAACATGCAGTATAGGATTTTGCATTATATCTAGATTCTGCCAGGATATATGTGTGGAAATATTCCTAGAGCTATTATGTTAAAACATTTCAGAGCATTTCGCAGAGTATCTTTTACAGCGAGATGGCTTAACATATGTTGAAGCTGTCCTATATATGTGTGTGTTTTTTTCTTTCATATTATCTATGTCAGAACAGTGAACTCTTTCACCTCTCTCAATAAATGACTGCAAAAACATGACAGTCTAAAAAAAAGAATTCTGGGAAATGTCCTGGAGAAGACTGAAAAATAGTCACCCTATACATTGGCCACAGCTCCGATTTTTAAATTCACTTATGAAATGGTGGTTTGTATAAATATCTGGAAAAGAAATGACCCTACTAATCTGAAGTTGAAAGGGTATTTAATTTAATTGTTCGTTCTGATACCTGGCACACTTCCCCTTCTCCCTGTTCTTCTGACTCCCATTTCTTTCACTTCCATATCACAATAATTTCCTCCTTCCCCTGTGCAGAAATCCCCAGTGGGCTGTGCTCATTCACTCCTCACTATCCTGCATGCCCATTCATACAGCTGCTTTCAGTTCTATTGCGGTTTCTGGATGTCAATTTCTCCTTAAGAGAACCCAACCAGCAGTTGAAAGCAAGACTTTAGTGACAGTTCTAGGTTTTTAGAAACTCCAATATAAGAGGCCCCTCCCCACTTTCTTTTCTCCTAGTGAATATTTTTGGAAGTAAGGAAATGCCCTTGTTACAATGATGTATCAGTACTTGCTTCTAGTCTGCTCAGTAGACCTGAATAATCACTCCCTTCACATACTGTGACAACACTCGGAGGCAGGAGACCCTGCCAATCTGAGTGCAAGGAAAATCAGGAAAAATCTTCTGTTTGGTGGTACATTAACTCTTAAGAGTAAGTTGCCACAAATTTCACAAATTAATTCCTACTGTCAGATCTATGCCTGGCTTTATAATCAGGATACAATTCTCACTATCACTTTGAATAATGACCTTGCATCACTTCCAGTTTGACCCAGTAGTAAGAGAGAATGCAGAGGTATGTGAAAAGATTTCAGAGAAGACAAGTGCTGCCAATTAACAACACGTCAGCCTGTGGAGTCTCTACTCGGGTATAATTGGTAGGTATTAAGGTAACATCCACGATATTGTAATTGAAGAAGTTAATCAGGAGAACTGTGTGTGTGTGTGTGTGTGTGTGTGTGACTTGCTCAGATAGCAAACAGTGGCTTCAATTTAGGAGGGATTTCTAAAATCTTTGGCCTCAGGTTACAGACCCAACTTTTAGATTGCTTTTTCTCAAATGGGGGTTTGAGAGAGTAATTTTTACGTTACGTGACTTTTGTCCCTTTCCTTTTCTTCCAGCTCAACCATGAGGGATCTCTTTAGGACCAGGAAAACACATTTTTTGACTCACCTGGCTTTCTCTCTGTAAACAGTGACTGCCCACATGCCTACACCCAATGAGCTGGTAAAAAATCTAAGCCCCTGTTTAGGTGCTTTCACCTTCTGATTACCAGGAGGAGACGGCACCAGGAGCAGGACTCTCATTTGTTCCAAAAACCAAATCGCACATCCTAAACATGGAGTTGAAAGAGCCAGTAGCAGCTGAAGAACTTGGAAAGAGAGCAGAGAGCCTTAAGCTTAAGATGTTGTCTTTTTTCTCCTTCTGCAGCGCTGGTGGTCTTTGCCAGATGTCAAGTGATGTGTGATGATGTCATTGCTTTAACAGGTTGTAAAATGTGTGTGTGTACAATTTTATGTATTAAGCATTTTAGTTTAAATTCACATATGTGAAATTTTAATAGGGGTATTATTATTATTCACATAAACAAAAGCTCGTTGGGTCCTCAATAATTGTTCCAGTGTAAAGAGTACCTAAACCAAAAAGTTTAAGAAATGTTGTTCTAAAGGGTGTTCCTCTCCTCTTCACAGTCTGTTGTGTAGCTCATGTTGTTGCTATACAAATATTTCAGAAGATGTTAGTTGCATTAAAGTGAAATTTTTAGATAGGTTTTTTTGTTTGTTTTGTTTTTTTATGATGTATCTTTCCTTTGTCTTCTAGATTCCATGATTCCCACACCCGACCGTCTCATCTTTTTTCAGGAATCTTTCTTGGAGACCTCATTGCTGACTGATTGAACTTTGTAGACTTATTTTACTCAACTTTTATTTCCGATACAAATAATAGTTTTATTGTGCCATCAATTAATGCTGATTTTAATGGTATGCTTATTTCAGTCTGAAGTTTTGTTCTATGCATTTTTAATAAGATTAGGCTAGGAAAAAATAAAAGAACAAAAGTAGTGAGTCTGAGTTTGCATTTAAAGCCAGAATCTCCTTTGTAAGTAGCCCTTTAAAAGCATTCACTGCTTCTACATTTCCAGGGAAGTGCAAACAATTCTTCTATCTTTATCACACATAAGGCCTCTTCAGCACCCACATCTCAACAATTGATCGGAAAGATAAAGAGGTGAAGAGATTGTTCACTGGGTTCTAAGTCGAGTCTGGGCTGGAGGAGAGAGGTGGAATTGTCATCCTTGGAAATGAGAATATCTGGTTGAGCCGAAAAGTGTTTACTGTGGAACCAATGAGGATTTGAATGAGAAAAGTCAGAGCCTGTAATGGCTAGACTATTGTTTTAGTCTGTTTTGTGTTGCTATAACAGAATACCTGAGACTGGGTAATTTATAAACAACAGGGGTTTATTTGCTTATGATTCTGGGACAGTTGTATCTGGTGTGGGCCTCAGGCTGCTTCTACTCATGGCAGAAGGTGACAGGCAGCTGGTGAGTACAAGCAGATCACATGGCAAGAGGAAGCAAGAGAGAGGGGAGGTGCCAGGGTCTTTTAAACAACCAGCTCTTATGGGAACTAATAGAGTGAGAACTCACTCATTAATTCCCCCACCTAGGGAGAGCACTAATCAATTTATGAGGGATCTGCCCCCGTGACTCAAACTGTCACGCTGGGGATCAGATTTCCACATGAGTTCTGGGAGGACAATACATCCAAATTCCATCAACTATCATTAGAGTGGAAATTGTTAGTGCTTTTTGTTTATTCTTAAACTCACAGGAAAACTCAAGAATCCAAAATAAACAGGTTTCCAAGAGTTAACAGTTAATGGGTTAACAAAGTTACTTAAATAAATTTCTTTAAAGAAATTTTAGGCTTTTTTTCAACTGGCAGAAAAATCTATTCCTTTATGATTATTTAAAATTTATTTTGTCTCCGTTTCATTAGTACTTAAGTCAATTCCCTATGTCACACTCCCTGTTGTCTAAAAAATGATAGACAGCAGCCCTTTGGTCTTTGAGGTGGAACTCAAAATCCTGTGTCATCCCCTCTCTACTGATTTAATGTCCTGGCTTCTCTTTGATCATAAGTCTCTTCTCATTTTCATTCTTTATTTCTTTTAATGGGTCCTTCTAGACAAGCTATGATCCTAATTATCCCTAAGTTTTCTTGATACATTTACTTTAGTTCATCCTTCCAGATTTATATTTCTCTCCACACAGTTTTATAAATGAGTGTAATGCAAGTAGGGTTTTCGAGAAGATGGAATTAATATGTATGATGATGTTAAAACAGTGCCTACTCCATAGTTTAGCATGCATTAAAATTCAGTGTTACCATTTTTTAATATTATTATTATTATTATTATTATTATTATTATTATTATTATCAACATTAAAGCAGAATTTGTTGGGATCATCCAATTCACTTTCTTTTAATTCTAGGTTTCTCAAAGCAGTCTTTCCATTGCCCAAGTGGATTTATTAACTAAGTAGAGAGCTCAGGCAAGGCTAACATCCACTATCCTGCCAGAGAGGATTAGTGTTCTAG